GGAATGGTGATTTGATTGTAGAGAAAAAACTCTAAATACCTTTTCAATACAAAGAAGACATTAAAAAACCCAGTTGCTCGAGGCTAATGGAGGATCCGATACATGCTAAGTGTAAAATAAAATGCATATTTTGAAATGTGTGATTGACAAAAAACATTGGAATAAAGAATTCAAGGAGATTTGCAAAGAGTCTGTTGTTGGTGTTCTTTGAAGTGAAAACTGGACTTCTGCAAAAGATGAGCTTACCTAGAAAGTGCAGGATGACTGAGAAAAGTAATAGTTCTGCACAACACAGGAATCCAGGAAGATGGTGTGGTAGTCCACTGTGATTTAAATTCCACGCAATGCTAGGTTAGTACCCAATCTCGATATTGTTTGTGGGTTGGTAATACTGGAGCAGGGACTTTTCTGAGTAATGTGTAATTACCTTCTGGAGCTCCTGATGTCATTCTGAGCAGTTGTATAATAGTATCAAGTTGCTGCAGCAGTAACATGCCTGAAGCCAATGTGGTGGACACTGAAAAACGATGTATGAATGTAGTGCCTGCCCACAGAGCAGTCTAGTATTTCTCATGCAGGAATGAGTAGCTGTTTCTACTGGCCCATTTCTTTCAGTGACCAGAACTAAAATCCGAAACTCCTTCTGAGTAAGGTCTCATGTCTAACACAAACCACTTCGTTAAGGATCAAAAATCTTAAAAAGTGTTTTACAAAGTCACTGCTTGTAGAACAAGAGGAAACACCAGACCTTTTTAAGAGTAAACATTTGAGGACTCCTTGACCTCACAGGAAACACAACATTGACTAACAAATGTGAATGGTGTCAGGGGTATCTTGGCAAAAGGAGAAACACAAGGACTCTATGCACACACAAAATTTAACTACATTCACTGATGACATTATTACAGCCCTTTAAATGAGTATTGTATAAGTCTCAGGTTGGTTGAAGAATCAGAAATAAGTTCACTGTGTGCTCTTTGAATTTGGCCAGGTTGTGATATAACCAGGTTATGATGTCTTCTGCCATGACAATTACTTTTGCTTTCAGACTAACAGTATTAAGGATGTAACATAATTAAGGATGGAAAATATGTGATGAATCATTGAATATATTTTAAGATTTTTTGTAGAGCTACTGAAAATTCTAGGAAGTTTGTTTTGTGTAGATGAAACTCAGTAGTAAACTATACAAAATTGAAAACAAATTCCTTCACTTCATCTCAAAACTCTGTTCCTCCCTTTTTAGTGCTGTGCAAAGAAAACAAGATACGTAAGTCTGAAGGTCATTATTTGTGCCCATTGCTCACAAAGGCTGCTCTCCTGCATAAGCAGCCACAATGAGAAGAGATAATAGAGATGAGAGGCAAAGGAGTCACAAGTGAGGAAAGAATGGGAACTGATGAGTCTACTCTTAGAGACACAACCAATACTCTTGATAAATGCGAGACGATTAATCCAGTTGTTTGTTCAGAAAATAAATATTTACACATTTTGCTACTAGAATAGTATAAGAGAAGTAATATGATTATGAATCCACATTTTATTTATTGTCACACTCATTGTTCTCCATGACTTCATTACTTGAAACCTTGTAGCAAATTTGCAATTTTCTGTTAAATAAAGCCAAAAAATAGAACCTAGTCATCCTGCTACAGGGTCATTTAATGCTGCACAAAACTAGAATTTTCAGGGCTTCTCTTTCCTTCTGAATGATCTCCCCATACTACATTTCTGTAAACACATCACACTAGTGTACTGCTTTCTGCAAACCTTTTTATTCTTTAGGATATCTGGAAAGCATCCAGCAAGACCAACTAAGATAGAAGATACTTCACACACTTCTGTCATCAATTTCCATTGCTGACCATCATCTAAACAAGTAAGAACCTAAACTTCTCTTTGATGTGGGAGTAAGATGATAACCCAGTATGACCATACAGTAGTAATATACTATATTACTATATTATATATACAGTATAATATATCAAAGACACATAAAGTGACATATTCAGTGTTTTAATAATTATGCATGGGCTCAAATGACACCAGTAACTCTGTCTACAGTGCATCCATCAGAAAAAACTGTTACCACCTTATCTGAAAAAATTTATTGATCCCCCTTTACCCTTGAAATAAATACACCACTAATCTAATTAAGTAATGATGTAAATTTGCATTTCTAAGCCTATTTGATGTACATGTCAAGAAGCATTGTAAGGTTGACATAAGTTTGAACTCAAAAACTACAGTTATCTTTATGTTTATTATAATAATAGCAACATTTACTCTATTTTTATAATAATTACTATACCTATTTTTATGATGTGATTTTTTGTGCAGATTATTCCTGTGAGGTGAAAGAAATACCACTATTCAGACTTATTCCTCTCACTAGGGGTACAATTTTCCTAGTTCCCTCTTAAGGGAATGCAGGGAGATGGGTGCCCCACTCTGGGACAGGGCACCTTTGGTATTTCTTAGTAGTTCTAATATTAAACCCTGATCTCTGTTGATATAATAAAATCTCACTTAAAACACTCTGGAAATGAAAATGCATGCTGTTTTCCTTGCTTTTCTACTCATTTTCTATTGCCATTTTACCTGTCACTAGCTCTAACCTGAGCCTTCTATATGTTTCTTCAATATCACCATTAACACTGTTAATTCTCCTTGCTCCAATGTGTATTCTGAGGTCTGCAAGTTACACACTATATGATTGTCCTCTCAACTCCTTATTAATCTAAGAGCAATTTTCAAAGGAGCATTTAAAAATGCTCCAGATGCAGGTGGATTAAATTTTGAACATAGCAAGGACAGTATGAATGGCAACTTAAAATAAAAGTTCATGTTCTCAAAGTGAATAGATACTTCCAAGTGTTTCTAGAATGGCTTTTTTCCCCTAATATGTTACAGTTCCGGTCTTCAGAATGAACACAATATTGTTTTAAGTCTGAATAATTTGTTGGAGAAAAAAATATTAGCTAGTTATACACTCAATAATATGCTTTAATCTTCAAAAGACAGCCCCTGAGAAAAGCAATAACTTCATATAATGTGAAAGATTTGGAGGATCTGCTGAAAGTAGAACAGAGGAACATGACATCTGTAATTGAATAAAAAGGAGCATTTAATAGCCATTAGATGTGCACTGTCCTGTTTGTCATTAAACAGAGCAGAGATCTTGTTACAAATGGTATGTTATTGTGTAATTAAATGTATTGGAAATGCAAAAGCACATGGGAGTTGAATTGTGCCTGCCAACAATGTTGTTAATGCTTGGGCGGGAGTGGCCAGCAGAAGGAGCATTGTTGTGAGCATCTCACTGGTAGAAAGATAAAGACAGATGCTGAGACTCCACAGTCTGCTGTTCCCATTGTTTGGCTCATGGCAGCTGTGTGCATGGTGAGATTACAAAACCATCAGTGCTCCCATTTTTATAGGGGCTGGAGTGTGACAGCAGCTCAATTTTATGTGTGAGTAGGAAAATGTCCATGATGAAAGTATCAATCCACTAATTCCTACTGCAATATGGAAAAAAAAATCCAAATCAATTTATCCATCATTAAATATAATACAGTGTGTTAACTCTTAACTTTTGCATAAAAAAATGAAGAATTTCCAAGAGTGAAGTTTCTAAAACACAAGAATCTTTATAACTGTTCCTAAAAACTATTCCTAAAAAAGAATCAGTCTTTTTGCAGATTCAGTACTCTACAGAACAACTCTAAAATATACTAAAACAGGATACAGCTATCATTTCACAGTATCCTATATATTTCATTGCCTAACTGTAATAGTAATGGTAATTATAAAATTCTTAATAAGGACGTTAATATGCTAGTAAATGTGCTTTAATAACATTGTCATCATACAACTTTGAATTCTGCATTATTACACTGAGTTTTTCTGATCAGGTTCTCAATCCTTAGTGAGAAACGTAAATAAACTCAGCTTTCATGTCTTCGTGTTCAGCTTAAATGGAATTTAGTACTATTTTTAAAACTTAACAACCAACATAAAACATAGCTTTGGGCCTATGTGTCATTACTCATTTTGTTCAAGGGCTAGTCTTCTGTTAGTTTTATTACTATTATTGGAATCATTCAATTAGCCTTTAAAAATTCACTGTAGTTTACTAAGATCAATGATGAGAAACACTTAATCTTTTTACTTCAGGCATTTTAACTGTGATATTGAATATCAAGATGCCTAAATAAACCAAGAATTATTGAGACTCAACTTCAAAAGTCCAAACCGGCCGCATACTTAATTTGTAAAAATCTTGAAATGATTGAGTCTTAATATCTTTCCAAACTTTTAGGAACATACTAGATTATAAATTTACAATGGTGAATTAATTCTTGTGATACCACAATTATAAATATTTGTTATCTGCTCTAATGAATTATCAAATTCAATAAGTCAGGGAAAATAAAAACAGAACATGGAGGAACCAGTCAGTCCATTACTTAATCATATTAAAATTCTAAATAAGCAAAGGTTTATTTAATGTATTTGGCATATTCTGCACCTCCCTCTCCAGTCCCCTTTACTGTATCATTTGTACACATATGTTGTACATATGTGCTGACACTTGCATAATCGAATTAAAAGACCTGGGTCAGTATTACTGGTTTCTGCTAATATTTTAAGTAATGACCCTAAATTCATATCTTTACATATCTTAGATGTTGCAAAGTATAGTTCACCCCTACTAAAAAGGGAAAACTGAAAAGTTTTAATATTATTTCAGTTAAAATTACAGCAGAAACATACTGCACAAAACACAATACATCTGTTCTGCCAGTCATTAAAACACTTTAGATAGTTGAAATTGTTAAATCTCCTTCAACTGAAGAGAAACCTCAAGTGTCAAGGCTCAGTTTGTTGTCAACATGCTTCATACTCAGCTGCTACCTCACCATTTTTTTTTAGTGCTAGGCAGAAGCTGCACATCAAGCTGTTAGCACACTGACCAGTTGTTCACCAAGTTTACTCACCCTCTGACCTTCTTTGCCAGGTGGACCTTGGGGACCCTCCAGCAAACCCTGAAAATACAAACATTAAACAATTAGAACATTCAGTGCTATTCTCATCCTCTATTTTTCTACAGAAGCAAGACTAGACCAAAGATCCAGATGGCAAGACAAGGCATTTATTTCTACTAATAAGAATTGCCTTTTCCTAACAATTCCTTTAATGTTATATTAAGGTGCAAGAAAAAGCACAAACAATAATTATTAATCACATGCCATCATATAAAGGTTGTATCCTTGGAAAAGAAGAGGTAACTCGGCTCTAATTAAGCATAGTTATATTTAACTACAATATTACTTGAAAAGTGATTTATCTTGTTAAGTTAGGATGCCATAAAAATTGACAAAAAAGTTATTTTAAATAAAAGACAACTTACTCTACAACTCAAATTCAAATATAGGCACTGAAGGGGGAGGGGAAGGCAGGGAAAAGGAACTAAATATAGCAGAAGGCCTTATGCTCACTGGATCCCAAGAACCAGCCCTGTGCTGCTTCCTCTGCAGTTCTGGCTTGGCTTTTCAAAACACTTCAGTGTTTCTTTTTTTTCTCTCTCTCTGTCTCCTGAACAGGCACTGGAGCTTTGAGTGTTTTGAATATATCCTTGACTTGTGAGCCTTCCTTCTGAACACAATGCAAGGATCTGCCTTTTTCAGTCAGAGACCAAATCACAGACCAGTTCTGATGCTTTGGGGATTTAATTTTATATCTGATTAATGTACAGTGTAATCATAAAGCCTTCAAATAACATCTCAGAACAACTTAGAACAGTCATTCCCCCCACTCTCCCTTTTCTTCATGAGTCATCTTGGAAAACAATTTAAAAAATTACTTTGAGGAAGCAATCCAATTTCCATTACAGCAACAAGAAATGTGAAATAATTTTAAATGTAATCAGCAAAGAATATGTAACAGTTCTGCATTGTATAATCTAAAAAAAAAAAGCCTTATATTGCATATTCTTAGAGATGTCACACAATTTAAGAATTTATGTTTTCTTTATATAAGAATTTTAAATACTAAAATTTTAAAATCTTTAAAATTACTCAGACTCATGTATTGCTTCAGCATGATTTATATCTTTGGTCAAATTCAAACACCTTACTTAGAATCAATTACACATATTTATTGACCTAAAAAGGGTAAATTGAGGTGCCCTGACAATCATAATTTTTTTAAGTACCCAGATTTCTAGAAAGGAATTTAAGAAGTTCATTTATGATCTCTAATTCCCAATGTAAACTTGAGAAAGTAAATAGGCATTCCAAAACTACTAGTTCATACATCTTCAAGTATTGTTTTAAATTGATTAGAATGTAGTCTGACTTCAATTTTAAAAAGAAGTGGTCATTTCAAGAGCTTTTCCATTTCTACCATTTCTCTGCTTTCAAACACTGAAGCTAAAAATATATCTCAGACAGTATTTCCCTATAGGATATTTCTTTTATCATTTCAGTTTATAATGTAAACAGAATAAGGTGTAGGATCTTTTACAAAGCTGATGCACACCATTTCCATCTTTCACCATAAGTTTATTGAACTAAAATATGCATGAGAACGTTGTGTCCAACAAATAATATCATGGTAAGTCAATTACAGTGCAAGTTATGTAGCTTATACATACACAAACCCATAAAGCAGCATGTCAATGTGACCTCTGCAAAGCTTCTTTACTTTCTCATCCAGGTAGTGTGGAACTTGCAGTTAATTGTTAGCAATATTCTAATTCTGTGAAGAAATTCTGAGAATTCAGGAAGAGGTGGAATTTTGTTTTGTTAATTTTTTCATTTTAGTGACAACTTTATGCAGGGGAACGAGATGAAAACCTGTAATGTCCGTTTTATGGGGAGGAAATACTTAGCCTCACATATCTGTACAATAAGGCTCCAAGGGGACAAGAATTACACAAGAATGTAACTGCACAATAGTGATAATTAATAGCCAACATTTTTATCCAAGGAGTACTTTAATTCTTTTTCTTCTCTCTACAATATTATTGTCAAGAAAAAGGAACCAGATAAGGAGATTTATCTTCAAGGAAAGGGAGGAGAGCTGTGTACAATTGGTAACTAGGCAGGGAGGACTCCCCTGTACAAGGAGCCACATCCTGATATTGAAACTGAGGTAAAAGTTCACACCAACCTCAGTGGGATCTTCCGTTTAAAAATTGATAGGACAACACAGGCCACGTTAACTAACACAGCTCTAAAACTGTAGTAACGTGGCCAAAGTAATGACTTAGCAGTGCTATCTGCTCAACATTCACTGAAAGAGATTATGGGAAAATAACTGCAGAAGAAACCTACAGGAGAAATGAAAAAACACCTTCTACAGTGAATTCTGTCTAAACAGATGAATAAATGATCTACCATTGAACTCCTATGGAAGTTGACAATGAATAGGAATCCATGTTTGTTGGAAGGTGGACTAAAGTATCTACTTAGGTCGCATTCCTATTTAATTTCTGGAGATCTTCCTTTGGAGATCAAAGATCAGATTTGACTCCCACCAGCCATGGATAGCACAGTTGGTCAGAGGAGCCCACCACCACAGGTAAAGGGATAGAATATACACTGAATATACATATTTATATCTATCTATCATCCATCCAATCTACGATATATGGGATATACTGAGGATTGTGTTCTAAACATTTATGTCAGAAGGCAATCTATTCTACAAGTACAAAGTCCCCAGTAAGCAACAGCCAAGGCAATCAAAATCATAGAACCACAGAATGGTTTGGGTTGGAAGGGACCTTCAAAGGTAATCTAGTCCAAGCCTCCTGCAATGAGCAGGGACATCTTCAATCAGACTAAGTTTCTCAGAGTCCTAACCAACCTGGATTTGAATGTTTTCAGGGATGGAGCATCCACCAACTCTATGGGCAAACTGTTCCATTGTTTCATCACTCTCATTGTAAAAAAGCCTCTTGTATCTAATCTATAATCTATATCTATCTATCTAAAAAGATTCTTGTATCTAATCAATATTGACCCTCCTTCAGTTTAATACCTCCTTCAGTTTTATCCCTTGTCCTATTTCAACAGGCTCAGCTGAAGTCTGCTCCCACCTTTCTTATACCCTTCAGGTATTGCAAGGCAATTAAAGTCATTCACTATGTGTCACTGTCACTTTGATACTTTTGACCTGGCAAGAGCAGGGCTATGATGATGAGCAGAACAATGTCTAGGGACAGCACACGGCACTGTGGAGTATAAAACCAGCCTATTTGTGTGACATCAGGCTGGCAGGAAAATATGATGCATCCTTTGAGGTCACCTAACACGCATGGGCTTTTCCTGACTCTGCCAGGCCACCTTTGAGGCTGGAAGGTGCCAGACTCCTACCTACTTTGTGGAGCAGTGGAATAAAATAACAAATACAGTTCATAAAGCCTGTTCCTGCCATGGACCAAGCAAGCCCCTTGGAGAAATGTACTTGAAGGAACTTGAGGAACATGATGTGGAAATCTCTAAAACATTACCATGTAGCTTGGGGAAAATAAAAGCCAGTAAAATGGAGATGTTCTTAAGTGCAACTGAAACTTAGAAAATTTACCATGATGAGTGAGGGTGGCTATGAAGAGAGATGATACATGATGCACTGGTAGGCACAAGAGGGTTGTACAAAATCTTGAAAATGAACAGCAGAAACTTGTGAATCCCTTTATAAGAGGTAAAGGGAAGTATTGACAAGGGAAAATATGCTGGTTAGAACATAGAATTGAAAAAGCAACCACACTGTGAAGAACATGTGGGCAGATGTTTAAAGGAAATATCATCAAAACTTAGTCTAAGTTGATGGAAACTAGGAAAAACCAACAGGTTTAAAAAATGCTGCAATAGGGAGTTTTTAAAAGAACTTGTATTGAAAATATCTATAGGAGATACCATTTTAGTACTTTAACAGCTAATATTTTTTGAAAGTATCAGGTGATAAAAACTAATAAAAATTATTTAACTTCAGACAGTAGAAGAAAAATATGTTAGGAAGTTACAGAAAAATCAGTGAACAGTTCTGCCACTTACTGTAGAAGGGCTAAAATCCTGTCATGTGGCTCTGCAGGTAAAAAACATTTTTAAAGACCTGATACATCAAAACAAGCATCTGCAGAGACATGGTGGAGGCATTGTTCATAAATATAATAACTCAGAGAAAGTGTCTAAGAACATATTCTCAAAAAAACGAAGTCTTTATTGTGACCCTATGGTGAAACAAAGAATGTTACGAAAAAAGAAAAAATCCCTGCTGAAGTGGAATAGTGAGGTTACTTAAAGCTGTTATTCATGTTACTTCTCACAGAAGATTATGGTTGATGCCAAGAGAGCAAAATATTGGACAATTACGTATATTTTTGGGATCTTGAAAGTTGCTTCAAAACATAGCTGATAGTTTTTGAAGCAGAAGGGTAGACTGCTGCCTTATGTACTTGTAGGTAGTGCTCCTGGAATACATTCTGAGCTGGAATACATTTCCTTCTCAACACAAATTAAATATAATACAAAAGTTAGCAATAATAATGTAGGTCTAATTAAGGCAAAAATAATTATTTAATTTATAGACTGGTTTGTATGTTCTATACACAAACTACTTTAATCCAGTGTTTCCTCACTATGAATTCCAGCAAACACATGACCTCAATTTTTACAGAACAAATGATATTAAATGGGGAGAAAATGTATGCAATTTAGTGAGATAAGTTAAACAAAGTTTAAATTAGGCATGCAGAAAAGCCTTGTGATAATGTAAAAATGTAGATCATTTTTTAATCATTTGAATATGCAAGCTTTTATAATGATAAAACTTGCTACTTCAAAAAGACCCAGCTATAACGGATATGATTTTGCCATGCAATTTCAAAACATTATGATGATAAACAGAAAGGTATAATTCCACTGATACAGCATCACTGCTGAAACATTTTTAAAAGCAAACTGGTGGGCAGTTCCCATTGCAAGTGATTGATGTAGTTCTTTTAAAACACAGTCCTTGTTCAGGATTAAGAAAAGCT